TCCCCCCCGTGGGGAACACGGGAGGGAGGAGAGGGGATGGAGCCGCGGCGCTGGGTGCCCGGGAGCGGGTACTGAGCATCCGTCTGTCCATCCATCGGGGCAGGGGGATTCTGGCGGCCCTCTGAACTGCCAGCGCAATGGGCTCTGGGAGGTGGACGGCATCGTCAGCTTCGGCTCCGGGCTGGGCTGTAACACGGCCAAGAAACCGACGGTCTTCACGCGGGTGTCTGCCTACATCAGCTGGATCAACGAGGTGGGTGCCCCTCTCTTTGCCCCCACGGAGGGGCTGACCGCGCTGTCCCCATCCTCACCCAGCCGAGGGTCTCACCGTGAGCCCCCCCATGTCTTGTCATTGGCAGAAAATGGCCACGAACTGAGGACGCGGCACGCGGCTCAACCAGCCTTGAGTGCGATAAAGGCAAAAGCGCTGAGCTGGCCTCACGTGTCCTGCTGGTTTTTTGGGGGTGGAGGGGGCACGTGGTGGAGCTGGGGGTGGGTGGATGCCCGGGGCCGTGTCTGGCGATGTCGGGGTTCAGTCTGTGCACTCAGGAGGGTCCCCCGCATCGTGCAGCGGGGCTGGCTGGGGTCCTGGGAAGGCTGAGGTGGGCAGTCATCCTGTGAGGTGCCCCCAGTTGGCAGGGGGGGGAGCAGAGAGACGAGGCATGCCCGTGGCACTGAGGGGCTTGAGGCTTGGTTGGTGGTTTGGGGAGAGAAGGGCTGGGGGCTAGCGGCTCACTGGGTGGTCCTTGGGGGCTCTAGGGGACTCAGTAGGTCCCAGGATGTTTTGGGGGGACTTGGCTGGCTCTGGGATGTCTCGGCAGGGACCTTGTTGGCACTGGCCTACTCGAGGACAGCTGGTTGTTAATGGGGGTCTTGAGGGAACTGGGTTGGTCCTGGGGGGGCCTTGAGGGGGGCTGTCTGGTCCTGGGGGAGGTCAAGGGAGCCCAGTTGGAGCTGGGGCCCTTGGGAGCCGCACGGCATTGCTGGCTCCAGGACCCGCAATGTGGTCCAGAAGCCGTGTGTCTCACTGTGGGTTTAGTTCCACGGGGGCAGGAGAAAGAAGGGGAGGGGGAGCTGGCGGCATGGTGCATGTATCCTGGCTGCGGGGGTCCCTGGGAGGAGCCGGGGCTGCCATGGCAGGGAAGTGTGGGGTTTGCTGGGGAAAGAGGCGGTGGTGTTGACGGGAGCGGGTGTCAAGAGGCTGCCCGGGGGGTGCGGGCAGGTGCCGTGCCCTGACCCCCCCGAGCAGAGCCGCCTGCTGTGGCGGTGTCATCTCATCGTGGCTGCCAGAGCCCAGCGGGGAGCTTCGCGACGAGAGGAGGACGAGCAGAAATGGACGGCAGCGCCTCGAGCTCAGCGGTGGGACACAATAGATGGTCCTCAGCTCAGGAGTCACGCTGCCACCGGACCGGCGAGTGCCACCGTTGGCAGACTTGGCGAACGATGCCAATGCCTGTGCCGGACCAGCGGTGGACGTCGGGAGCACGGGCACGAGCCACGTGCCCGGGCTGTGGCTCGTCTGGGGCCGGGTTGTGGGTGTCTCTGGGGGCTGGGCAGCACTTGGCAGCCTGGCCAGTGCTTTAGTAGGCAAAGAGGGGCGTGGGGTGGGAAATTTTTTGGGAAACATGCTGTCGGCGAAGGGACTGTACACATCACCCCATGGGGTATTAAAGGCTTGTCTGTAGGATGCGTTGAGAGGGATGCCGTGTGTGCAGTGCCTGCATGCGAAGAAGGAGCGGGGCTGGGCAGTCGGGATGGGAAGCAGAGATGGGAAGCAACAGGCTGTGTATGTGAACTGGAGCTGTCGGGGGGGGCCACCCTTCCCTTGTGGTGTGTACCGCGGGGGCAGCTCTCGGGGCTGGGGAGCAGGACCCTGACTGTGTTGGAGGCACGGGCCAGTGTCGCGGCCTGCCATATTGCGATGTGACGTCATATCGTGTGTGCACGTCCAGCCACGCGCCGCGTCCCCTCCTGGAAGGTGGTTTGGTGGGTGTGGGAGCCCCGGGCATCGCCGCGGTGTGCCGCGAGCCTCGGCGCTGGGGGGGGGTACCCAGCGGGCCGTGTCCTGCGCTACCGGCGATGATCGGGATGGAGCAGAACCGCGGTCAGTACTGCCACCCCCTGTGATGCATGTTGCCCCAAAAAAAGACATCCCCTCCCCGAGGAGGTGGCAGAGAGTCATGGTCCCTGCATGAGACTCAGCCAGTGCCGGCACAGTGCGGTGGCGACTGTGTGGCCTGTCACACCGTGTCCGCCTCGTGGCGGCTCACACGAGACCCTGCAGCGGCGAGTGGCCAGCAGCATGCAGCCACAAGGTCGGTGTGTGACCCGAGTGGGTCCTTGCGGGGGGGTTTACCAGGGGACAGCGGACCACTTTGGGGCACGCGAGTCCCCGTGTTGGCTGTACGAGTGTCGGGCAAGCGGGGCGTGCTGGGGCTGTACCGCATCGGGGGGGGACGCAAAGCGCCGTGGTGTTGCTGTTGTCACTGTGTGCTCGTAATGTGCTGGAATTACCCATAAGCGCGGGGATGGCTGTACAAGCTCTGGGCGATGCTGTGGCTGGGGACTGCTGCAGGGCTCCCAGTACGCGGGCACTGGGGGGTACTGGTGCCAGGAGTGATGTGGGGAGCCTGTGCCAGCAGCACAGGCCCAAGCGGGGGCATCGGGGCCGCGGCGTAGGCTGAGTGGTCTGTAGGAACACTGGTGAAGAAACCTGTAACTTGCAGTAGCTAGAGCTCTGTTGCGTGTTTTCTGTTCAGTTGCGGAATCTGCGGAATGGCGACACACGGCATTGGAAACCTGGGTTTATTAGGAAACGCGTAGCTCTGTTACCTGCCTCTCGATGCTGCCCTTGGTGGTGGTGACCACCCCCCGAGACATGAGAGGTCTCAGCCAGGGTGCAAGGGGTCGGAGGCTGGTGCCGGTGTGGAAGGTGGAACTGGTCCTGTCGGAGCAAGGAGAAGCCTCCTGACAGAAGGCGACCCCCTGTAAAACATGTTGAGTAGAGGCGTTGGGGCTTCCATGTAGATGATGGGGGAGCACCTAAGGGCTGGCAGGGCACATAAGCGGTGACAGGTCTTTTGGGTCCTTAGGGTCAACCCCGCACTGTCAGGAGTGCTGTGGAGAGGTGCCGTAGACCTACAGGCTTCCCACAGCCGGGCGTAGGGCCGCAAGGTGAAAGCAGGAGCACATAGAGTCTCGGCTGGCGTCCTTCACTTGACTGACGACAGTGCCAAGTTCTTTTGGTTGGGAAGACGCTCCCCTCAAAGTCCCTGTTGGGAGGCTGTAGGTGTTTGGGCATAGCTAGGGGGCAACTTACGGTGAACCCTACCACAATCCTGGGTGTGGGCAGAAGGAAACTGTTAGTTAGGTGCGAACGTGGTGCGAAGGTCCGGGTTTGAAGGTGGTCGGCGACGCCTAAAAGGGTCGAGCTGTAACATTTTTCTCTTGGACCTTGTTTGTTAGGATGGTGTAGGTGAATAAGTATGGCTTGAGACGCAACTGGAGTTGCGCAAGGTTAAGCAGTGGCCGAAACTTCAGGGCGCAAGAGCCCTCCTCTTTTAGTCACTGAGCTTGTAATTTTTTTCTTTCTCTCCCAAAGGGCTCCTACAAGTTGCAATCTTTCTTATTGATATCCTGTTTGTCATGATTGCCTGTCAGACTAGTTAGGTATTAATAAGCAGGTTTTTGTCAGGTTTTAAAAATGTGCAAAGCATTGTTGTGTTAGTTTAAATACAACTGGGTAAGAATAAACTCATCGGGTTTGGGTGTCACTTGCTTACTTATTAGTTCAACCGGATTCCAGGATCACTGCTTTAAGTATTGGGTCTTAGTAGGACCGGATCTTTGAATGGACAAAAACCAAGAGCAGGTGTAACTATTGTTTTGTTTTTGAAATTGTTAAACAACAGCATCAAGTGGTTTCCAAACTTGTTTGTTTCTTTTATATACCGGAGTGTTGTTTAAGGAAGTTTTTTAGATTGTGGGTCACACCAACCTAAATTTATTTTAAAGTTATAAATTTATAATTTGGTGGTGTTTTAAAGCTATTAAAATAGAATTGTTTTAACAGTGAACCTAGAGATTTTATCTATCGAAGGTTTTTTTAAATCGTAGCTAGAAACCAACATAAACCAACCTTTAAAAAAAAACCAAAAAACTGTAATCAAACTTATTCATTAACTGACATAACTGTTATAGGTAACCAAAACCCTTAAACCTCCAACGTTTAGATTAAATGGAAAACTTCTCAGAAAGGGCTTTTCATCTAGTTTAGACTTAAGAAACTAAACTTACACTCATTTAGGTTTTAACTAAATCTGGCTGTTAATTTTTTTTAACTGAAAAGTTTTAGTAATCAGTTTCTAAGAATAATCTCCAGTAGTTCAACTTGACCTATGTCAAGTCACTTCAACATCTATCTATCTAAAACTAGGTTTCACTATCTATGTAAAAAGTGTGGGATTGCACAGTTCTACATCTAACCTTTAGTTATCCAGAAGAGTGAGATTTTATAGGTATCTAAGTAATTCCTATGAAGACTTCAGGTTTAGCCAGCAAACAGTAGAGGCTTGTCATCTAATCTAGAATAGATGTAGATGTAAAGAATTTTTTTCACTGCTGAAGATTTACATCTACATCTAATCTGTTTTAATGTACGCACTTTGTAACTATGTACAAAGGTAGCTTTAGTTTAAGAGTAAGAGGGTTAAAACTGAACTGCAGATTGTCATTGTTGTAGACTTCAGCAAGACATAGTTATGGCTGAATTTACAAAGCCAGGGTTTATGTTAACATAGTGTAACTTCAAAGGTCCTAGAATAGTTCAAAGTAGTTTATAAACATGTTAAAAAACTTCAGTGTTACTTAGAAAAAGTTAAAGAAGTGGTTTTTTAAGTGTCTGAGTTTCCAAAAAGATTTGTACAGTTTATAGCCTGCAGTTTTGTTTCATCTAACAACTCTTTTACCTAAAAAAGGTGAATAAACATGAGGAGTTTCCCTTTTTTCAGTTGAGACTTGTAAACATTTTCCTTTCTTTTTAAAGAAGCGTTTAAAACTTAAAAACTAGCACTTGGTAAACATGTTGACACAAAACTTCATAGTGTGTTATACACCTACTTGACAAAAATAGTTTTATGAAGCAAAAGTTGTAACAGGGTTTTAACCTTTACAAAAATGTTACACCTTCCTTAACCTAGTTTACAACCCTAAGTAACCTAAAGGATTGGAAAGAAAACTTTCTTTCATTTAAATTTTTTTAGAAATGAGAAATTTTTAACACTCTACCAACTCTCTGTCTCTTTAAAGAGTAGCTTTCTAAATTTAGTTTTAAAAAACTCGTATAAACTCTTTTTAAAAACCTCCAAAGGTTAAAAAA